ACAATTTTTTTATGAGAAATAATATTTTTTAATAATCCCTTTTTCATTCGACATACTTTATCTTAATCAGGGTATTAATAAGAAACTAGCAGATAATGTAGCTTTTGTAATTATCCACCAATTTCTTAGAATTAAACACTATCTACTGATTTGCATCGAAGCGTTTCTTATGATAGTGATTTTAATCACTGTCAGATTAAATCTATACTGGACCCAACTATGCAACATCCCCACTATGCCGCGACCCCACTGTGCTGGGTTTTTTTTTAATGGAAATACTCATATCTTAGTTAAACGATATTGATATTCAATATTTTGTATCACAATTTTAACTAGCTAATAAAATTAAAAATTAAGAAAATGCCTGGTTAATAACAATTTTTAAAGTAGTACTTCGGCATACTCTTACACCAAAATCATTTATTATTTTTTTTAAAACAGGGTTAAATGTGGTACTTATCCCAACACTTCTATAGGATTATATTGTTTGACCTAAAATATAGTTAATACATAATAACACGAAAACCGAAGATTTTAAACACCAAAATAATATTTTTTGTTTAACTTCAGGGGCCATTTGCATATAAGAGTTAAACATTGGGATAAAGATTTTTTTTTAAATTTATAGTACATAATATAAGCTTTATTCTCACTTATGTTTGAAACTCGGAGTATTTTAAGAACATTTGCAAAACTTAAGTTGAAAAAGTAAAATTTTTGTGCAAAAATTGCTATTATGATTTTTTCCCTGTGTGTAGGTAAAAAGTCAGATTTTCAAAAAATATATACTAATTTATCGGTAAATTTCTAAGGTATATATAAAAAAATAATTGTTTTTATTCAACTATTTTTTAAGAAGATTTAAGTGAAAAAGTTAAAAAATGTCTAAAATTACCTATTTTTAAAATTATAATTTTTTGAGGATACCCCCCATTTATAGGGAAAGAGAAAAAAATTTTTAATTGTTGAGGGCAATATGTTTAACTAGATACAATTTATAATCTTTTGTCGTATTGTTAAAAGAAAGCATCTCAGTGAGAGCTGAGAAAAAGTTGTAAATGTCACAAAAAAAAAAAATAATAATAATAACACATCATGGACACTTCGCATCGAAGCTAAAAATCTCCTAGTTGTACATTTTTTAAAAATTAGTAACTATGTAAAAATGGTACCCTAATTTTCTTTCTTAATACACCAAAGAACTTTACTCTAATTTTTTAGAAACATATTCAAATAAGTTTGAGTACAACAATTTTTTAAAAAAATTTTTTAATATTGTAATTTTTACGTAAAAGTCGTACCTTTTCTTTTAGTTGATGTTTGTTTTAATCACAAATACAAGTACAGAGGTAAATATTTTTTTCAAAATAAAGTATATTACATAAGCTTGGTGTCAGGAACATTTCCAAAAATTAAGTTGAAAAAGTTCTACGTTCTAAACTAGAACGTAAAATATTTAGACCATCCCTGTATAAAATAAAATAGTCCAATTAAAAAAAAAAACGTATATAATAAAAAGAATATACAGGGTGTAAATCTTTCGAACCATAGTAATATATAGGCGAGTATCCTTGGAGTGTGTAAACAATGACCTCGTTTTTTTTTTTTTTTTTCCCAAAATTGGGGAAGTTTTGGAATAACCCCCCGGGATTTCCCCAAAAATAAAAATAAATCATACCACGATATTTCCCGCAAAATTCTCGTACAAATTGAGGGGTCACTCGATTTTGTCCAAAAAATTGGCCATTTCCCCTCATTTCCGCCCCTAAAATTGGATGAATCGAAATTTTAGTGTTACATATCAATTTGTACTAGAATTTTGCAAGAAATATCATAGTATTATTTATTTTTAATTTTTATGGTTTTTTCATGCTGAAAATTCGGGAAATCCACAAATTAATAGGTTTTATTGTTTTTTTTTTAATTATTACTTGTACTTTCAGTGATAATAATGGTAAGATATCAAATCAAAATAATTTTAATTATTTTAAACATTTTTTCTTTATTT